AGGCCGTCGCCTGCAGAGGACAAGCGGGAGCAGCCGGGCAGATGTGCCCAAGTTCCGTGTCGGGTGGAGCGGACAGTAACAGGAGGGACGTGCAGAGTCTGCAGTGACACCCCGTGGGCTGGGGACGCTGTTCGTGTGTCAGACACAAAAGGGATCCTGAGGCAAGTGTTGCCACCACCACGAGCACCCGCAGCCTCCTGCTGCAAGGGAAACACCACCGGCACACAGGCGAGCGCTCCTCCAGCCCCTTGGACACACAAATCCGCTTCCTGCTGCCCTCCTGGGACGTGGTGTAACACAGACCACGCCATCGGCCCCTGCCCCCTGCCTCCCACAAGCGATGGCAGCTCAGGGCAGACTGCTTTGCTCTAGCAGAGAGCGAGGATCTGACCCTTCCGTAGCCGTAGGCTACGGAGCAAACCGGGCAGATGCCACCAGACTGTCCGCCACGAGCCCCTTACCCCGGCTGGAGCAGGAGTGACCAGCCTGGCCACACCCAGCCTTTGGGCAGACAAAAAGATCCAGGATGAGCAACGCAGAACTGCGGCAGCGGCACGGAGTGGCATCGTCTCCTCTGCTCTTGGGCCCACACTGTGGCCCTGCTGCTCGCAGAGGCAGCGGCACCAGCACCCTTCTGCTCCCTGCCCCCACGGATGGGCTCCTGCAGCGCCAGCCCCGCTGCCCACATTCACCGGGACGCAGTACCGCTGGCACCGGAGGGGACTCCGTGCCCTGGTGTGGCCGGGAGCCCATTGTCACTGTCAGCGTGTCCATGGCCTTGCCCAGGGCTGATGCCAACGACCACGTTGTCACCCATGCCACAGTGCTGGCAGCATGGCTCAGGCATGGTGTCTGCAGTGCCAGCTGAAATCCAGTGTCATCAATGCCTTCGGCATCCGTGGTGGCTGTCCGGTCCACTGCCCAGTGCCCCCGGCTGAGTGCCAGTGCTCCTCAGGCCCGTGACGTGGGCATCTGCTCTTGCAGGGTGACACAGCTACCAACGCCCTTGGCATCAGAGTGTGACGCTCATCCCTCAGCAACGCGGTCCGAGGACCAACACCCATGGCACATGTGTCTCCCACAGCCGCAGGCCGCTTGGCGCCTTCAGCGTTACACACCGGCCTGCCACCGAGGCTGCAGACGTGCCATCAGTGCCCACGGAGTTCTGGGGTCCCAGTGCCAGCAGAGCACCGGACACTGGGCCAAGGCGTGCCACACAGCGACAGGAGCTCCCAGCTGGGTGCCCATGCACTCCTGGGCGATGCCCACGTGCCAGCCTCTGCCCGTGAGTGTGCTCAGCAGCAGAGCAAGCACGGCACATACAAGACTTCATCGATGCCAAGGGCTGCAGCGACTCATCCTGGGTTTTAGTGGGAGATGTCTTGCTGGTTGCAGTTTTCCCCATTTTTGGTACTTTAAGAGGTGAAGTTAGCAGAGCAGAGAACACACAGAGAGCTGAGTTACCTTCACCCACACCACCACGTGTGACAGTGCTGCTGCAAGGGCACAGGGGCCGCACACCTCACCCCGAACGGTAACCTCGCATGGCTCCACGCGCTCCCTGGCAACGCCCTGGGAAGGAAACCGAAGTCGTCCTCCAGAGACAGGCCAGGACGTGTCTTCTCCCCTCGCCCGTGACCCCATACGGGGGACGTGCTGGAGCTGCCCACGCTGTGCCCTCGGAGGGCCGGGCAGGCAGAGGCTGCAGGCAGACATCCCTCGGGGCCCAGGGGCCCAGTTCCAGGTACCAACAGTGTTGGCACGCAGCCAGGCCAGCGCAGAGGGGCGTGCTCCGTCCTGTGCTTTGCTCGCACGCTCTTCTCCAGTCTGCCTTCAGCACTGGAAGCTTCCGACACCAGAAGGCGCAAGGTCCCAGAGTCCTCTGCAGCTCGGGAATGCCGCAGTCTGGCGCTGTGCTCCAGCTATGCCTCGGCTTCTCGAGGCAGGAGCAAAGATCAAGCATATTCTTCCCCAACTCTCACCCCCTGTGCTGCACCACACGCGTAGCTGCAGCAACAGCGGCAGACACGGGGCTTCCCTCGCGCCTCCCGCGCCAGAAGGGCTCTCCGAGGAGGAGTGGCCACGTCCTGCCTGTCTCGCTGCAGCATCTCCATTGGACTGGGGGTGGTGGTAGGGAAGAGACACAGACAGTTAGCACAGGCTGCCGGGCTCGTGCCCTAAAAGCCTGACCTTCCGAGTACAACTCACTGCTTCCGGGTACTTTACCTTCGCGCCGGACTGGACCTTGATGAAGCCTTATTCATATTTCTTCTTTCCACTGCTTTATTAATATCTGTAAAGAATAATCAACCCATCCGTTCAATGCTACGGAACAAAAAACAGGTCATCAGCACAATTCAAACGACAGCAACACAAGCCCAACACCACCCAGATGGTGCACGAAAATCCATTCAGCAGAGACATTGTCACTTTGCCAATTTTTTATTAGGTTCAGAGGGTACAATGGAACGAAATTCTCATGGATTTCTGACTTGGGTGCAGTTTTAACCCTTAGTGTCCAGGCTACATCCAGACTCCTCACTCGGTAAGAGAAGCTCTTTCTTCTGCAGTCTATGAGCGAGCAGAAAGCGACTCATGGACTCTAGGAGAAAAGGCTGAGGCTGAAAACCTCCAGAGAGGAAGCTGATGGCCAGCACCGTCTTGTCCTGCTCAATGAGCACGCGGCCACCCTTGCTGGAAACGATGCAAGGGTTCTCAAGTGGCACACCCAACCGCTTTCCAGGGGCCTGCTGCGGCATCAGGCTGAAGAGCCGCCCCCAGAGGGGGAACGGACACCCCGGAGCCCGAAGCAGAGGCCAACACGGGGCATTAGCACCACCACTGTAACGTGGTGCAACCTGACGCAACGGGAGAACCGGATGGCTTCTGAGCACCTCCATGAAAACCCCACAGAGGGGAACACAGGCAGAGCTGGGACACAGCCCGAGGCGGCAGGGACCCAGTGTCCTGCTGCGCAGGCCCAACGCCTGCCCTAACACCGGCCTGAGGTGCTCCGGAGGGGCAAGAACGGGAGTGACCCTGGGTGTTTTACTCGGAGCTGTTTAGGGAAATGAACAAGCCACCCTCAGGCCCTACCTTCTCCCCCAGAGCCAGTCGACAACCCGAATTTCGTGTTAACTATTTGCATGAACTAAATCTCCCGCATGAGAATAACGGCGCCGCAGCGTCCAGGCAGGCTGTCCCAGCGCCTCCCGTACCTTCCCGACCATCCTTCCCTACCTTCGAGATGAAAGTCGGAATTATCGGGTTAGACCTAACCTTCTCCTGCCGCCCAAGCAGCAGCACGCTCT